CGCGCGCGGCGCAGCGCGATCAAGCGCGATCGCAACCGCGGCTCGGCTCGGCTCGGCTCGGCGCGGCGCGGCGCGCGTTACCTGTGATCCTCGGCCCTCGCTCCGCGAGCGGAGGCGCGGGGTGGGGGTGGCCGTGTAACAGGAATCCGTGAGCGCGCAAGTGGAGGGCGCCCGCCGTGTCCGGGAGGCCGACCGCCGAGCGCCGACCGCCGTCGCTGATGTGCGACCTGCGTTTCCAACGCACGTAACACGCACGCACGCACGCACGCACACACTCGGGTTAGCTCGTTCGCCCAGACGCTTGGCCGGCACGCAGGGAGCCCCGTCCCACGCCTATCATTTCACGCGGCGTACACGCGCCATAGCGGACAACGCGACGACGTAGCCGACGTACGTGGGGGCGGCGCACACGGGGGGAGCACGGTTAAACGCGGCAACACGCACGATCCGCCGAACAACAGAACACCGACGAGGCGACGAGGAGCTTTCCGCGCTTCTTCGACGATGGCCCTGGGTTTACCAGCGGGAGCGAGCAGGAATGCCAGTCGTTAGATGGCGTCGGTTCCCCCCGGACGCCATGCGTGATTCGACTCGCTCCGCGTCGCCGCGCCCGCCGATTGGCCGACGAGGCAGCCAATCACCGCCCTCGCCGGACGTTAAGGCGCGATTCACAGGGATTAGCGAATACACCGATTTATTCACAGCGCGCGCGGCCCGCCGAGCGCTCCGACTGCTCCGAAACGCCGAACTCCGAGTTCCGAAACGCCAGTTTCGACGTTCGACGATCATGAAAGTTTGCCTAACCTAACCTACGATACCCTCGCGCTGACTGCCGTCGAGGATCTCCGATTTGATCGACTAATTTAATAGAAATCGGTAAGAAGTGCGAAGGTGTATTCTTAAATTGATAAAACGAACTTTCAAATCGATTATTACGTTAACTAGTAAATGAAATTCGTATTGCTAAAAGACATGACTTGCCCAAGTGTTTGAAAGAAGTAACGTATACACGTAAAAATATTGAATGTAAATATTTCATACCAATTATTATACTTATGTAATAAATTGTTGAAAATAGTTGATATAATTTTGTTGCTACTGGTTAAAGGATAAACTCTTGATTGCTTTTGAAGATATACTTCCGGAGAATACTTGCATTTCTCTTATTAGATTTTGTGATTTTTGTTGCACGTCGATTAAGCATATATTGAACGTGACAAATCAAACATGATAGGATCAAGATGAACATTCCGCCGATCCAACAACCGGGGGCTATGGGGGTGGGACAAATGGGACAGCCGGTAAATCCTCAATTGCCCCAGAATCAACAGCAGGCGCAACAGACGCAGCAGCAACAGGTCCAGCAGCAACAGCAACAGCAGCAGCAGCAACAACAACAGCAACAGCAGCAGACGCAGGACAAGCTCGATAATATCTCCAAAGTAAAATCTCTGGTTGGATCATTGAGAGAGTCGTTGGCCATAGCTCTCAAAACCGCGGCGCAGACGTTGATTCAAAATAGCTTGGTCGACGTAGGGACTATGAAGGGTATAGAGCAGCCGGATCATCGATTCAAC